ACCCTGTATGTTTGTTCGATGAAATTTTTACCGCACTGACAAAAACATTATTTTAAACAAAGTAAATAGATTTACTTAAAATTATTTTTTGCTAACGTAAATATTTATTCTATTTAAATAAAGATATCAAATTTCAAGTAAGTTTGTGTATTACATTAAGTAAATTAATTTATATCATTACATTTTCTACATTCAACTAAAGATTGAGATAGAGAATAATTAAGTTAGAGAAGACATAGAGAAAAATTAAATGAAATTGTTTTTTTTCAAATAAGAAATCCAATTTTCTTCGCTGTAAAACTTATATTTTGGTAAACATTTGATAGAATTAAAGTAAAATTTTTTAAATTAAAAATTATCTACACTATTTGATATTTAATAAATACTTAAATTAAAGAAATGTATGTTTTAATTTGTTTATAATTTTTTTAATGAATAATTTTCTTGAGTAAAGTAATATTTTTTTAGATTGAGGTATTTTTTTGTCAGTGCTGTAGTAACTGCAATTTTATTAGATAAATTTCATCGAATATATCCACAATTTAATCGGAAAACTTAATCAGAAAAAATAATTAATTTCTCATCGGAAACACTATTGTCAATTTAACCGATAGAAATTTTTCTCAGTATTTTATTTATTTCACAGTATATTAAAATGTATAGATTTGAATCAGATAGACATTGAATCCTGAAGATCAAGCATTTATTGGTCGATTTATTGCTCGTCTATGGCACGCCAGTTTCTTATTTAATATTGAACATAAAAATTTTGTATTTATAAATATAAACGGAAGAGAGACAGAAATAATCTTCTTATCGCTTGACATATTCCAAATTTATTTAAAAAAAGAATTTTATGAATATTAATTACATTTATAATATCTTAGCATACGTTTATTTTATTGTACTGTTTTACGGCTCATCCATGCCCATTATGTGTTTATATTCGATTTTATATTACTTACAAAATAATATAATATGAGATTGAATAAACATCGTGAAATCGAGGATTCTTCTATTTTTATACTAAATGAGGTGTGAGAAATAGAAATGTGTCAAGAATATTTTTGTCTCATGTAACACAAATTTTTTTTGAGGGTGCACCCATAGAATGATTTTCCGGATTCAATGTATTGCATGGTAGTATTGCATGAACGACACAGTCACACGTACGAGTATATTCGGTTTTCGCGGTCGGTTTTCGCGGTCGGTTTTTGTAATCGGTTTTGTATCGAGACAGTTTCCTTATTAATTTTTAAATTTTATTCACATTATTATTAATTCCAAGTTTTCTCGGGATATTATTGAAATCGGTACACATGTAACGTAAAATACATTTTTTTATATTATATTTGATTTAAGA